GTGCGCAGTTGTCTATCGTCAAGTTGTTCTGCGCGTTTACCTGTACCTGTAATCATAGTGCTGGACATGTATCGAAACTGATCTTAGAAACAAGCAGCAAAAATCATTCGGTCACGGGAATGGGTGAGACTCGACAACCTTTGAAGCATGGCAACCAGAGGCACACTCGATTGTGAACCGCTTCTTTTCCAGATCACAAGATTGCATTGATGAACTGTTCACAGTCATGCAACTTTTAGAACTCCCGTGTTCCAACGTAAATGCGATGTAATACGGGGTAAACCGAAGTAAGACCTAGTCACTTGACTTGCGTGAATTTTCGCGAAGGAGTATGTAGGTAGTGAAATATTGTTTCGTTTGTCTTGCTCACACTGTACTGCCCTCCGATAGCAACGGATAGGCACCTTCAAGATTTAGAATTAGCATTTTCTGTATCGCACTGCTGAACCACAACATCCAAAAGCTGGCGTGAAGACCCGGGCTTTTCAATCAGATGCTGAATTTGGTTGCATTGATTGGCGTCTATGTTTATTGAACTTCTGAATGGTTAAACAGTGCGCTAGGTCATAAGGAGTACAGGGCAATGAATGCCTACAGCATCTCGTGCTTGCAGCAAATCCTGCCAATATCTTGTATTTGACACCTCCGGAAATGTTCTCCAGGTATGATATTCGATAGAACCTTTTTGAATCGCTATTACAGGGCAAGATTTGAAACATTTTAGACATGCATCGAAAAGTTACAGCATGGTTCAATACCACACTACTACCCTTAAGACTGCTACGAAAAGGTGCCTAAATTACAGCCGTGATCACTGTCTGGTGGCCCAGGCAGCCTGAACTAAAAATATAAGGAAACATTTTATAGCCCTTGCCTAAGTCGATGTATCAGCTGATGAAGAGCTTGAAAGCGAGCTTCAAAGATAACCTCCTGACGACGGATATCATGCGAAAGTATCTTGAGATGATCACTTTAAACTAGGATAAATTGTGCTCTCTGAATATTGTGTTCAAAATCCTAAGTAAAAGGTAATTGACTTATGAGTGCGCGGGTGGAAAATCGACTGTCATGGCTCTGGCAAAATAGGGGACGACAGAGATTCAATTAAACCCTACGGAGAACCACATATGCGGTGACTTAATTGGAAATAGTGATTATCGTTGTAACGAGGAACTGATCTGAATGGAGCAGAGGTGGACTGATAGCACAATACCTGCGGGGAATTTTTAGGCAACATCCTTCTAGAAGAGCCAGCTTAAGGCAGGAAGACCCCAGAGTGGAATTTCTCTGATGAGCAGATGATTTGCTGTTAATGAGTTTGACTCTTAGAGGATTAGATGCTGATAGAAAGGATGACTGGCGACCATTTCAAATGAATTTCTGACAGACGGAAGTCAAGATTAAGTGTAGAGAGTTCAGGCGTATTCCTAATGAAGGAAACACGTCAGAAAGTAGTAGACGCTACTAACGCAAAACGGTCAGGGATGAATAATTGTGGAGTGAAGCAGGTCGTATATTGAAGCTGATGCTTTAAATCATCTTGAGAAATGTGCCGAAACTTGGCACCTGTTTTATTGGAAGTCATACTTTTTGGGTGTTTGAGAGTGGCATCAATGGTCGCCGTTCTTCATTTCTGTGTTGGTATGAAAGACACTGGATATCTATGTTGCAGCTGTTTTTTAGAAGTCATTCGGTGAATAGCAGTCGATCACTTCTTTCATTGAGGCTCTGTACTTGGCTACACATTTTCAGGCCATGCTGACACGGTTGCTCAGCGATGGGGCGTAGTGACACATTGCTTAAGTAGTCAGCTTTGAACTCCTAAGGTGCTGGGTTAGATTCCGACAGATGAACAATTTTTGTCTTAACCGCGAATTCCCTTCAGCAAAGAATGTACCCAGCGTTGTTTTAAACCGGGGTTACTCAGTCGCTTGAGCGTCAGACGCGGAACCGAAAGATCCCGGATTCGAGCCTCGGTTAGGTCATTTACCGAGGATAATAAATAGTTTAAAATAAGGGATTTCTGGCTGATCGTATGGAAATAGAAATCATCACTCACCTTCAACTTTATGAAAAGTGGGGCATGAGAAACGTCCTAGTCATGAAAGTGTAAGGAAGACAACCATTCCAACGGTTAAAAAATTTCCTTTTTTTCAAGTTTTCGCATTCCACCATAACTGGCGAACGGTGTCGCCAAACTTCAGCGATAAGTGATCACAACGCAAACTTAAGAAAACTTTTTATTCGCGTTTTGACTTGTATCACACGCGCTGGCGCAAGTTTGTTTTTGAGTTAGCGCTAAGAACGAGGTAGGTAGGTAGGTTCTTTTTTATAATGTCCATATGAGTTCAGTAGCAGAGGAAAAGTTACACAACGATGCATAATTTCATGTCGGACTCATTTTATCATCACCATCGTCTTCCATCGCCGCTTCTCTTTTCGGATCGGGAGGCAGACACGTCAGACAGAGCTTCCAACGTTCCCGATCCTGTGTCAGAGCCTGAGCTTCGGCAAAAGGCAAATGGAGTCTC